ATAACTTAGTGGTGGGGTGGCCCTGTGCTGTTGAGATGAGATAACTTAGTGGTGGGGTGGCCCTGTGCTGTTGAGATGAGATAACTTAGTGGTGGGGTGGCCCTGTGCTGTTGAGATGAGATAACTTGGTGGTGGGGTGGCCCTGTGCTGTTGAGATGAGATAACTTGGTGGTGGGGTGGCCCTGTGCTGTTGAGATGAGATAAAATACATCTTCATTGTCCAGATCCTGGCACACTGGTTTGGTGTTTTGCCATGTACACCATACGGACACGCACGCGCACGCGCACTGCATGTGTTGCAAGTGACATAAATCTTCACTGAAACTTACAAGTTTTCTTTCTTGTTTTGTCTGTGGTTAAGGAGATCATTGTGGGTGGTTGAATGGGGCTGTGGGTAGGTCCTTGTTTTTTTAACTCTTTATATCCGAGGGGGGTAAACCCACCACGCTAGGGCCCTTTTTTGGCGCTAAATCTAAAAATGACAAAAAAGTCATTAAATGGAAATTAGCAAACCTATTTTCATAGTTCTTCGTCTAATGTGTGGTAAAAGAGACCTGTTTTAGGCAATTGCCGAAAGGTAACTTGATGTCAAAGTCCTCGTAAAGGAATGTGCCGGAGCCGCTGGGATTGCTTTGTATCTCTTGCTTTTTGGCAGCTCTGGTGTTTGATTCCTGAGTGGGGAGAATTTTTCATGGAGCATTTTGGAGTTGATGAACGTTAAAGGCGTTGAGTCAAAAAACAAACATTTAAAAAATGCCAGTTTCTTCAGTTTCACTATTTTGATGAGTGCCTCATTTCACCACAATGCTTCACAAACGTTGTGTTACAACAAATGTTCTGACATATCACATTTCTCTCCCACTCCTCCCTCCCCACCCCCCACACGTCCCCCCACCCCACTCGTTCCCCCCCCCGTCCCTCCAGGGTCCTGCTGAGAGTCCGGCTGCTCTACTACATCAAGCAGGAGCTGATCGGGGACGAGGCGGACAAAGTGTTCCAGAGTGTTCCACACAGGTGAGTGGCTGGATATCTCAGATCCGGGCTTTTGGATCTCTGTAATCCGGACTTTTGGATCTCTGTGGTCCGGACTTTTGGATCTGTGTGATGCGGGCTTTTGTATCTCTGTGATCCAGACTTTTTGATTCAGACTTTTTTATTTTGATCTCTGTGATCTGATCTTTTATAATCCATGCTCTTTTATCTTTGTGATCCGGACCTTTTGATCTCTGTGATCCAGACTTTTGGATCTCTGTGATTTGGGCTTTTAGATCTCTGATCCGGATTTTTATTTTGTCGTACATAAATACACAATATTGTTCCAGTACAGGATAATTTACATCCATGCCATAGAAAGGGGGAGGGGG